GGAGCAAGCCGTGTTGTTGGCTTCGGTTGTCCACAGATACGAGTTCGCGTTGCCGAGGGACTTTGAGCTTCAACGCGAGGAGACGATGAACTGGCTTTTGGGTGAGATGCCTGTCAAGATCTGGAGGCGGCAGTTGGAGGTTGAGGCAAACTAGATTCCCAGGGTACATAGATTAACGATTCATGGTAATGGACTTGGCGTTGGAAAGTTGAATACCAAATTGATTAAGCACTAGAAGTTTTCTGATCCGTGGCTTCTTTCGTTGTACTGTATGTGAATAACTTATCATAAGTACTTCCAAGCAGAAGAGCTCAGTAGGTTCAATTAGGGGTATCTGTATGGACAGACAGACCTGGGATTATTACGCCTGAAGTCTCTCCCGAGTCAACAATTCGCCCGATAATTTGTAAGTCGGAAGACGTCCCCCAAATTTCGCAAGCAGGTACGTCACAGATCATTCCAAAGCCTTTTCACTACCTCTAACGTCATAATCACCCACGAAACAGACATAAGTTTTCCTTTGTTTAGATGATGTCTTCACGGCTGGGATTAACTTTCCAGATGCAGGTCCAATCCCGAAAGCCTGGCGATACCATTCGTCGTGATGGCAGTCGGCCTCCGACGTAAAACTTCAAGTCTCAGCAATGGAACCCTGAGCACGTTTGGGGACGGCTTGCGTGAGTCCCATGACCGCCCCGCCACGTTTAGGAGTAGAAAACTGAAATCATTGATTATAGGCAGGCACCCAACAAGCAGTTCTACTTTTTATCAGGTGATTTTCTCCCTTAACTCAACCACATAATTGCCAAAATGGATATCTCCCCAATGCCTACCCTGAATCCTGCCGATGCAGATGCAGAAAAGCCAGAAGTTGTGGCGCTACACCCATCTGGAGATGCCATCATCGTCATTTTCGGCCCTGGTGGGGCTAAATGTCACGGCCGCTTTCTCGTATCTTCTGCTACATTAAGCCTGGCTTCTTCGTACTTCAGAACACTTTTCGGGCCTAATTTCAAGGAAGGTGCAGACCTTCGAAAGAGCATTTGTCCTGAGATTGCCCTCGAGGAGGACTGGCCCGAAGAAATGGGTATTCTTCTCTCAATGCTTCATTTCCATAACCTTCATCATTTCCGGGACCTGGAGCCAAAAGCAGTTGCTCTGATAGCATATCAAAGTGACAAATACGACTGTGCCGCCATTAAGTCCGTGGGGCTTCAAATGGTTTCACGGAACTGGCCAGCTTACAGGCGAGTAGTTTGGCTACCTTATCACGGCAGCCTACCTTCTAGACTCGGATGAAGACTTCAGGGCAATTTCAGGCGCAGCAATCCGGCAGATGACACTGGATTTTCGTGCTGTCTGGGACGGCAATGAACTCATCGATCGACTCCCGCGGAATATAAAGAGTATGAACACGAGAATATTTAGGGCCTTGAGATCAGCTACTAACACATCAAAGATATGATCGAGAAGCAGTCGATGAAAGCCATAGCGGCAACGCAAGAGACAATTTACAAGGTTGAGTGGAGGCTTCAAGAAGTACTCTTGCTTCGCGAGCTCAGGTTCGGAGTACCTGCAGTGAAAATAGTGAACTGCACGGCTGGCGTGCGGGTCGCGGATTATTTTAAGGCACTACGAGACGGAAAGCTATGGCCTCCTTCCCGTCTAACTATCTCGCAGATTAGAGAAAGAACAAAGCTTCTAAAACAGTTTGGACGGCATCATTGCGATCTCGGGGAAGTCTGTAAGCTAAAGAAGGAATTGAACGCCCTGTCGGAAAGGATCGATGTCGTTCTCAAGGGCATCAACGGGATTTCGCTCAAGTCGAATCGCAAGACGGAGGAGACATCCACTCTCTGATCTCTTAAAGTTGCAGCTCGTCAATGTGGCTGGGAAAACAAGACCGTGCTGGTTGGGAAAACGGCGTTCTGTAGCATATGGATCAAAGGTCGATCTGCGAATCCTTCAGTCCATTGCCTTATTCCTAGTTTACATGCGTGGCCGCAGTACGAAATCATATGGCACGCCCAAGGCTGCATACCTTAGCATTCATCAATCAAAATGCGCCCAGAGGTTGAGTTAGAAATTGTGAAAGCCCATCAATTTGCCAGCACTTTGTATGAAGGCCCAGACCGACTCCAGCTACACACGTCGAGAGAAATTGAGCAGCCTGCAATTTGACATCTGATCCCGAAAATTTGGTTTCTTCAAAACAGACTAAGCGCTAGTGTAACCTCTATCACCCCGCGAATGCCAACGCCTATCCATGGATGCCGATGGTGGGCCTCCGACAGTAAGTGAACCTTGGATGCGGTGCGGCAGAACCCTGAATATTCTTGGTACGAATCTCGAACCTCCCTTCCCGCGGATGGCGCATTGCATAAGAAGACCTGCAACATTCACGATTTTGTAGACTGCATTTTTGCATCCATAACTTTTCCAAGCCCGACTGCCAGCAGGATGGATATCACGCCTACTTCTTGTACTCAATCCATGGATTCAATCACTGAAAAACCGGAGATTGTCAAGTTGCATCCGTCTGGAGATGCCATCATCGTTCTTTTGGATTCCAACAACAAAGCTCGCGGTCGCTTTTTGGTTTCTTCCGCCACACTCTGCCTAGTCTCGTCATACTTCAGAACGCTCTTTGGTCCCGATTTCAAGGAAGGGTCTGAAGTCCGACAGGGAAAATGCCCCGAAATTAGTCTCGAAGAGGATGAACCCAAGGCAATGGAGAAGCTCCTGTGCATCCTCCACTTTCATGGCCTCTACCGCTACCAGTCGATGGAACCAAGGGCGATTGCATTGCTTGCGCAGCAAAGCGACAAATACGACTGTGGCCGCGCTCTGCTCCCATGGACAGGCCTGTGGTTCAAAGGCGTGGGAAAGCTTGCGAAGCCAGAAGATTATGGATGTTTGTTGACGGCAGCCTATCTGCTGGACTTGCCGGAATGGTTCAAGATCATCTCAGCCACAGCCGTACGATACATGCCGGCCGATTTCCTAATTGCCTGGTCCAAAGAGAAGATAACTGAACGGTTGTCCTGGGAAACCAAGAGTAAGAAATACACCTCTTTCATCTTTGTTACGGAGAATCTGACACAATTCTGGTATAGATGCGGTTGAAAAGCAACTACTAACTACATTGGCCCAGGTACAACAGGAATTATTCGCCGTAGAGCAGACTGTGAGAACCAATACAGCCTGCTCCATCAGCGGTCGACAAAGCTGCAATGGTTATGTTAGTTCGTTCTGTGGTAATGAGGTTAGAGTGGCGGATTATTTCCTGGCGCTACGAGACTGTGAACTGTGGCCTTCTATAACAGACTTCCCGACGTGCAGCATTTCCGACATCAATATTCGCATCCACAAGGCAAAGAGTTTCAAAGGACATGATTGTAGCGCAAAGGGAAATTGCATCCTCAAAAGAGAGTTACAGGTGTTGCCCGAACATATCGACACAATCATGGGAAGAATCAACGGGGTCTCTATTCCGCCACGTATTAGCAGCAGAGAAATCTGAGATAGCGAGACAATTGTCTCAAAACTACCCCAGAAAGACTCTAGTACTGCAGTCCAATCACGTGTGAATATCTTTGGGTATGCGCTCAAATTATGTGAGTGAGGTGGGTCCCAAAATGCTCAATATTGGTGACAATAAGTTCAAGCCAGGCGGTCATCTCGTCGTACCAGCTCAGTTAACTCATTTTATGTCACTCACTCATTCCATATCACTCACTCATGATATTTGAGCTCATGATATTTGAGAGGAGCTTGTCATACTTCTTCAGTTGGAGTCCTACTCTGAAGAGGTTTCTGACGTACATGGGTGGATGCTCACTTTGCAGGCGGCAGGCGGAGACGATGAGCGACGACGACGATGGCATTGAGGACGACGACTTTGTGGGGTTTAGCGATATCAGAGCTCTAGTCAATACGAATTGCCGGCCTCAAAGTCGAATCTTACAAGTCAAGTACCGAAAGTGAATCACAGACCAGTGGCAGAATCGTAGTTCCAGAAGCCCGGCTTGCAAGACCTCTGAATTGCACTCTGTGTAGTCTTTTTCATGCAGACAAAATCTGAGACTACCTTCTGCAGTCAATTGAGCCCTGCGTTGTTATTCTAAGAGGGCCTCGTGATTTTCGACTTCTGGACGTCACTTAAAGGTTGAGGTTTGACAACTAGCAATGAATATTGGAATTAGGGACCAACAAGCTTGTTTTGTGAAGAGCGAGAGGCGGCATTATCACACACAACATTGACGTATGCAGTTTAAGGGTGAGAAACAACGCTTAGTGTATCTTACCATGCTTCACAGCATCTATTCTGGTTGTCTTGTGCGGAGAAATATGGACGTCGGGCCGGTGCTGCACGAACCGGCATTTCAGATCACCACATTTGAGCCCGCGTTGACGTGATCTCTTCCCCCACTCCACCATCCCAGGAACGATGCAAGGAGCCAATCAACCCAACCACATCGTTGTCAGAAGCTTTGTGTCTGATACTACTCTGCTACCAATCAATTTTCATGCGTTTTCGCTGGTGAGATACTTTCTCCTCTCTATTTCATAAGTGCTCCGCTATCGCCTCCTTCCGCCACTGCAATGTCGAGGCCCCTAGACAGCCGGCACCCATGAACGACATCCACCCTAATCTTGCCCCGAAGCAACTCCAGGTCTCCTGTCCCGTCTCTCCAGCCTGTAAGCCTTCGGCATGAAGTTGCCGGTCTTTCGTTGGTCTGAAAGCCGTCCTCTCCGCGGAAGTATTTGAGCCCACTTGATATCTAGTGGGGTTCCATGACGAAGCTCCGAATTGCACCATCGTGGATCGCGAAGTTGTGATGGCAGACTTTGCATGCAATACTGGTCAAACATGCTATTTCTGTTCTGCAATAAATATTCTAGGCATGAATTAGGTTTACGGGGAGCCTCGTTCTTTCGCATCACCATCTCGTTCTCATTGGTACCCCAGGACTAGTCGACTGTCTTGGCGCCTTACCATGTCTGGCACGCCAAGCGTCAACTCTGCTGTTGAGCAGAAGGGCGAACGACTCAATGTCGACGACAAATCTGCAGCCTCTAGCTCAAAGCAGGCTGCTTCGACTGAGGTCTGGGCAATTGGAGGCTCGGCAGAATTGTATGAGCCAATCCCCGAGTACGAGGGTCGGCATCGCTACGACCCAAAGGCAGAATGGTCCGAGAAAGAGGAAAAGAAGCTGGTCAAGAAGGTGAGAGTCCCCAAAGGTGGTTGTTGAAGTGATGACCGAACCCTCATGTTCTGACACTACACAGCTTGACTATAGAATTTGCAGCTGGGTCTGCTTAATGTTTTTCGCATTGCAACTTGACCGTGGCAACATCACGCAAGCAAACTCTGACAACATGCTCGCTGATCTCGGTCTATCCACGAATCAGTACAACTATGGCATGACCATCTTCTATCTCTGCTTTCTCTGTGCCGAACTGCCCTCGCAGATGCTTTCGAAGAAGCTAGGCCCGGATGTATGGATTCCGATTCAGATGACCCTGTGGAGCACTGTCGCCATTTGCCAGTGTGCCATCAAGGACCAGACAGGCTTCTACGTAACCCGCGCACTGCTGGGTCTCATCGAAGGTAGGTTTATACTGTTCTTCCTGCTCGGACCTCAGATACTGATCTTGAATAGGCGGCTTCATTCCGGACGCCATTCTATACCTCTCGTACTTCTACACCAGCAAGGAACTGCCCGTCCGTCTCAGTTGGTTCTACGTTACTAGCAACGCATTCACTCAGACCATTGCAGCTTTCCTTGCATTTGGCATTCTGCACTTGCGAGGTACGGGAGGCTGGGAGGGTTGGCGGTGGCTGTTCGCCCTTGAAGGTGGTCTGACAGCAGTGATCGGCATCCTCTCTTGGTTCTATCTCCCACCAAGTCCGACTCAGAGTGCTGGTGGACTTCGTGGAAAGGACGGCTGGTTCTCCGAGCGGGAAGAGATCATCATGGTCAATCGCATCCTCAGGGATGACCCGAGCAAGGTATGTTCCAACTACATGGGTGCATTACTCCGGATTGCTAACCTTTTCGACAGGGTGGAATGCACAACAGACAAGGCTTGACTTTGAAGCTCCTGTGGTCCGCTCTCTGCGATTGGGACCTTTGGCCGATTTATCTCTACGGCTTCACACTTCTCATCCCCGTTCAGCCGGTCACGGCGTACATGACGCTCAACCTTCGAGCGCTTGGCTTCGACACATTCCAAACCAACCTACTGACTGTCCCGGCATATGTCCTCTTCTTTATCCAGCTGATAGGCTGGACTCAGTTTTCGGAGCGCTTCAACAACCGATTCTTCACCGTTTTCATTTACTCTGTTTGGGTATTCCCACTTCTGCTGGCACTGGAGTTGCTCCCAAGCACAGCAAGCCCTTGGAGCTGGTATGCGGTGACTGCTTTGACAATCGGATACCCATATGTTCATTCCATCCTGGGTATGTATCTCTTGAAACGACAGTTCTGGTTTGGGACTAACACACAAACAGTTGCCCTGACATCTCGCAATGCGGGTACTGTACGCACACGCACCGTCGGAAGCGCAGTCTACAACATGACGGTGCAAGCCAGCAGTATCATTGCTTCCAACGTGAGTCATTATCTCCCACTCAGAAGAAGAAAGCAGAATTGACATTCAGCAGATTTACCGTACCGATGACGCACCCTTGTACCGCCGCGGAAACAAGGTCTTACTTGCTATCACTGCCTGGAACGCTGTGTTTGCCTGGATGATCAAAGGCTACTACATGTGGAGAAATAAGAAGCGGGATGATGTTTGGAAGAACATGAGTCAACAGGAGAAGGACAATTACTTAGCAACAACGAAAGATGAGGGAAGCAAACGTTTAGATTTCCGGTTTGCTCATTAGAGGGCAAGGGAAGAAAGCAATGCTTTTACATAGATGAAGGCACAACATTGATTTTGGTCCCGTTAAATACAAATATGCAATGTGATGTCCTAAGATTAACCAGCGAGGTTCTTTTCACATTAAACGTATACAGGTAGCGTTATAGGGCCGACTTCGTTTGAAGAATTGATAACACAAGTGCGTTTAAGGTAAGGTATCCATGCAATTTCTGCTTCTTCGAGACGTTGTGCGGAAGTACCTGATTTTATTCGAGGATATTCATGAAAGATGACTTCCAACTCCAAATTTGAGTCATGTCTCTGCTCTCTTATTACATCCCCTTTCCTCAGACGGCTGAAGACGAATAAGGGGTCGATCTATGGAAATCAACCCCGGGCGGACACTTTCTATGTCATGAATTGCTTCACCGAGAGTGATTTATAACCGTTCCTAGGGCTGTATGGCTTTGCGTCAAGCAATGAATAGAGAGTTTTTGATAGCGCGATTATACTGCACCTATCAAAAGTAATATCGTCTGACTTCGACCTGAGATGCCGAAGTCAACATCCAATCAATTATAACACACTGCAATTTAGAAGTGCGGTTAGATGAATTCGCAGGTCCCTGGTCAGTTGTGAGGCAAGATTGGTCCTGCATGCGCTTTTGAAAATCGTTCCTTCCCAATTTTTGGAACTTTGATTCACCTGAAGTGAGAAAGCTTTCTAGCTTCTAGTTATTTATTTCAACTCACACCGCTAATTCTATTCTGCAAAATCACACTTCAAGGTGCTTTCACAGCTTCGCACTCAATCCCACCCTACGGTTCACTTCTTTGTATATTTTATCAGGCCTCGGGCCCCTCGCAGGCACAAATAACATGGAAGACGCTGCTGCCGACACTCTAGAGAAGGCATTGGCTTTAGCCATGGCGGGATACTGGCATATGACTGGCGCATCCGTCCAGGATAGCTTTGAGCTTGCTGAGGGCATCATGGTGAAGTTCCGCCGGAAGTAATCTGAGAGTGGTATCATGGTGCCTATCAAGACCAAGGCTCAGGCCAATGACTCTGTCGTCGCAGTGGTGCTGGGTGTGGGCTGCGATACAAATGACGCGTCTGTGGCTGGTGAAATCACAGACGATGACAACGATTGACGGTGGCGGAACAAACGCTGCGAGTGCGGCTCGCCTTCATGTTGCAAATGGCAACATTACTTTCGATCTCATGATCTCCACTACTAGGGGAACCAATACCCCAGGTGTTAAGGGTTGTCTCTGCAACGTTGTCGGCTGCGGCATGGCCGTCACTCGGAGAGACACCTTACAGGCTGTGAGTAACAGTCCAATGCTGAAAGGCAGCTATCTACCTGACCGTTCACTTTAAACATTGTATGGTTTACTCTTCTTACACCCATTCGTTGTCATTCAATACGTCTGCTAACTCTAAGCTCCTGGGCTACCTTAGATGAGCAAAGATATTGACAGACAGCAACCCATTATTGCTGAAAGCTATGAACTTGGCGTCTCTTCTGGGATGCCTTTGGCAACATTTAGACGACATTGGCTTGAGACAGAAAGTCAAGGATGATGAAGCCTGCCGGTTTTCCCTTAGCATTAGACAAGTATGTCTCTAGCACTAAGAAATGAAAAGAAGGCATTATGAGATGTGAGCTTGACCAATGTCGTGGAAGATGATCGCAAAGTTGTTCGGTTGGGACATGCCGCATGTTTGGTGTGCCACACCTCCATTGCCGTAAGCACCCTGCATGATAATCTTTCGCCGACGCGACCTCCCCCACGTATCATAGCCAACGAAAGCCCCGCGTCTTTGGCATCACCTGACGTAGCCTGATTTGAGGAACTTCCAAAAGTTAAATAATTTGAGACCCATTGTGATGAAGGCAACTTCATTTGCGCCGATATCCTGGTTCCATTGTCCACCAAGTTGACGGCGAAATGGCCGACGGCGGTGTCATTGCACTCACAGCTACCATCATCGGTGCTGGTCTTTTGATAATCATGTATGGGTTATTCTGCGGACCTCATCCATGGCGCCGATTACTTCGGCTCTGCTCATCGCGAAGAACACGGCGGCACTCACACGCTGGCATGTATGATGTCGAAACAACGACAACCTATTCTGAGTCTACAGGTGCGTCCAAAGCATTCTGAGAGTCTACTTATTCTAGGGAAAAGACTACTCGTTGACAATGACACAGACGGCCCACCACCTCCTCCACCACGTCCTCCACCGCCGGCATTTTTTCCCCAGCAGCGCAGACCATCATTTTCACATAATCGGAGACCTCGGGTTTACGGTGCTCCAGCTGCGGGTGGGGGTTTCAGACCGGAATTCCCAGTCAACCAGTATCCCGCATGGGATTCTGCAATTGCTGGTCCACGAAGAACGCAAAGACGTTCCCGCCACAGGAGGACTTGGTGAGTTGACGATCCGATACAATGAAAGCCCTGTCAACGGAGATACGAAAACTTCGAGTGAGGGCCAAGAATCATGTTAAAGGAGGCTCTCACGCATCTAGGAAGGAAAGACTTAGTGGCTTGTGTCTTCAGGTTCAAGTCTATAGGAGATGTTCATATCGAATCTGTTGTGTTTCGTTGTAGAAGGAGTGTCACGGAATTGTCAATAGAAATCTACTCAACCCTCACATATAAAAGCTAGCGCCATCATGGAAAATATGTTGAGCGTTGTCCGGAATTTTGACCAGGTGTATCGCTCAACCAGCAACAGAGCTAAGTAGTAAGTCAACCCCCCGTGTGTTGGCAGAATTTGATGAAACCCGGCAACTTTAAGGCCCAGCGAGTAGACATTCATCCGTGAGTCTCCAGGCCTTGCCTAACCCCACACATTCACCTCCACCATTGGTCTACACTTTTGGTATTTGAGTTATTTTAGTGGAAGCCGTAGACCTCTGCATGTACTGCTCTCGTGAGACAGGGAGATGATAATCATGTCAACATCTGCGTTGCTGCCTTCAGCGAATCGAGGTTCGCCGGCGCTTTCGTCGACTGCTACTGCGGAGACTTTGTATACAGCTCCGTGACAGTCCTTGTCCTGGGAACTTGACTCAGACTTGTGGTGATGGCGGTCCTCCCCTAGTTCCTCGGCAGGATCCACGCAGTCAATTGACAATCTGCATTCGACTCGACATCGGCGAAACCAAGCCGAATACATCATCAACTATTAATAACAGGTCCAGCTCGATTTCCATAGGCACAGATTCCCCGATTTCCATCGCTTGGCGAGGTAGCAACTACCCAAGAGCCGACAGCTGACAGCGGAACGCTTATCCTTCCTCCAAACTTTTGCACCAAACCAGGGGATGTGCCTGCAGATATGGTCTGCAGCACCGTCACGAAATCGTGGGTGGTTGCACCCACAGCACATCTACCTAAGGGTTAAACTCAGCAAGCGATTGCTTTCAAGGCCACAAATCTCTCGCGGAAGAGTGCTTTGACCCGAGCAGACCTAAAATCGACATAACGTTAACAATAGGGACGAGTTTGCATTACTGTTCCTCACTGGAGACCTTACAACTGCGGTGGCCTTCTGTCTTGCTCGGAAGCTTGCGGATGACAGGCAGGATTTCCCCATCATTCGAGCGACTTGGAGCACACAACCCAAGTCTAATTAACGATTATCTGCCTGGGCAGATACAACAAGTCAGAAGGGGCCGTAAACGCCTGCAATGACTAGGATGTTGCTCAGGGCATCCTGGCAGTTCTTGGGTAGATGAAGTTGAGCGGGTTCGACTGACACGGAGCATGGGCTCCATTGAGGAGAGTTTGGGAGCAACTACGCAGGGATGGCTGGGCTAGCCTTTGACTTTGTTCATGCCGACCATCAAATGAATGTAAATTCAATGACGACGCATCGGACGCGCCCGCAATTTCTCCAGACTTCATACACTTGGATCATTATTTCTTGGTTTCTATCTTTGTGATGGGCATTTTTCAAACATCATCACTACCCACTTGATTCCTTGCAAAGGCAAATTCTACACTGAAATGAGATCTGCTTTCGGCTTCTCGGAATGCCAGAACGGCCTCTTTTCGTCACGACTCAGTTCTGTCTCAATGCCGTTAACGGTCTCTGCGTAATCAATCACAGCAAACAGAACGTAGACCACACTAGTTGTCCTGTATCGCTACAGTCAGTCGAAAAACGGCATACTCAAGATTCTAGGCGGCATACCAGGTCACTATGCCAGCTCCTATCGTGGCACGACCAACTGCGCCTCTTATGCGAAGATCCGGTGAAGTCTGGCAGAGAAGGCGGTCTTGGTTTGACCCAATCAAGCTCATGTGTCGCTGGGTCTCTGGGACGGCAACGTAGACACAAAAGCCGAGGGTGAACACCGCAAGACTAAGTACCGATATCCGAGGATCTGAGCCGCGACGGATACTTGAGTTGACTCCTATCTCGACTGAAAGAAATATGGCCTGCGAAGTTGTTGGCTCAAATGATCTATTCATGAATCAGTTGCTCACTTACTGTAAATATGAAGAGAGTCTCGTTGAGGGTAGGATACTCGAGTCCATCTCCCTCAATGCTGGTGGCCAGGTCGTGACTTTTCCGCAACCATGACGAATAGTACACGCCAAACATGGTGAGAGCCAATGCGCAAATCTGTAATAGCCGCACGGAGTACATGGAAAATCTGAATAATGTTCTCAAAGCCATGGTGAAGGTTGCAGAAATATGAGAAGGCTCTGGGAAAACAATCAAGTTGGCAATGCTGAGGAAGAACGTGAACAGCAACTGATTAGCGAATTCTAAGCAGACATTGCTTTCTCTAAATACTTCGCTTCAATACGACCAAACACATGAATCTCGATACGCCAAGCGCCGGGTGGATATAAACGTGGAACTGATCGCCTCGTCAGCTCGGCGCGACAAACTCACAACAGCCATTCGCGTCAGCTTAGCGTCTCTACCAAGTCTGCTGCGCAATGGCGCAGCTGCGACCAAGACCTCTCGGGTTCTTGGCCCGACTGACTCAGCCCAAGTACTCCTATATTAATCAATGCTTGCAGGTGTCGGAGGCTCGCGGTCAAAGTTCTCAAGGATCATCCCTAGTTGCGATACATCTTGGCGATCCGGACGATCGGGACACGGATGCCGTTTAACCAGGTTCATCTCATCACAGACACAGAATTTGACGAAGTGCGGGTGATGAGCACCTTTATGGACAGCTTATTGAGGTAGGAGATCGACCAACCCTAGTAGAAAAACCTCAAGAGGTGGACGCAAAAGGGACTCCGTGCGAGTTATGGAAATCTTGCGATAGTTCCGGCCGGCAATGGAGTTTTCGACCATCCAACTGGTGAATCTCGTTTATGCTGGCAGCGTTTCCGGATAGTTGATGTCAAAACTCGTCGTGAAGACGGGGCATATCACACATCACGGAGCACTTATTCATGTGAGAAAGTAAAATCTCTTTTTTCCTGGACTACCTAATAACCATACATCTTGGCCCGAGACATCACGAGACACGGGCTCGGCAGGCGACGAGACCTCCAGAGATACTTTCCCTCAAACCTCTGGAGGCCGCTGCAGAGATGTCTCGGGCGTTCCACTGTTGCGCATTTCACTCCACTTGCACAAGACCCCCCAACCTCACCATCTGCGTTGACCTCAATCGACGCTTGTCAATCGATTGTCGATTGTGCTTCAATAGCGGTAACGGGTGCGACCTTGATCGTGGCCATCAGCGTAAAAGTTGCTACCCCACTGACGGCGCCGACGACCTTGGAAAACGTCATCGCCCCAAAAGTAGTCACTCTTTGGACCACCAGTCCAGCCGATCCACTCGTCCTTGAACCGCTTCATTAACTTTTCCTTCTCGCAAAGGAACTCCTCGCGCTTGATCATGATGAGGTAGTCGTCGCCGGAAACCCACTGGGTCTCTGTGATTTCCCTGTCGACGAGGGCTCGCCACTCAGCCTTCTGGGAAGATTCCCAGTCGTTCCAAGAGCTGGCGCTGGACTGAGAGTTACCCATTTCGATTGATATTTATTTGGGGTTGTAGATAAGTGTTTGTCTGTGTAAGCCTGGGCTTGTAGGTGGGATTGTAGTGGATGATTATTGATTGGTAGAAGCTCGGAGGCTAGTATCTGGCGTCTTGATGAAGTTAGATTCTGAGGGTAGATGAAAAATGAATAGTAGTCAGATAGTAAGACAGATAGTATGATAGATGGCAAGATAGATGGTCCGAATTGAACTTTCGATCTGTCTTTAGGTTGTAAAGATGATTCCAAGGATTTGACTTACTTGTGTGTGGTAGATGGTAGAGTGGTTGTATTGTAGAATGGTAGTTGTTGCGTGTGGTAGTTGTAGTGGGTGGGAGATTGTGGTGATTAGTAGATTGAAGTGTGTGAAGAGGATGGATAGGAAGGAAGATTGAGTCCAGATGAGAGAAGCTTAGGACAATACTTATAGTCTTTTGATGAGAACATTGATAGCTACTCATCTTCCAGAGATTTTACTTTGGGTTGATTTCAAAGCATCGTGTGTGAGCCTTTTGGTTGATCTGGGTGCATCTCCGATACTGCCAGGCCACACAGGTCGGTCGGTGACTTGATGTTGCTGGTGATCCGTATATGTCGTGAAGAGAGTTTCAAAAAGCTACGGTGACGAGGACGCATCCCGTTGGAAGTTTTCGTTTCCAAGTTACTTGATAGTTATTTCAGAGCTCAAAAGAATCTTCGTATATAGTTGTGACTCCCAATGTCGGCAAGATTCCTCTTTTTTCCCTCTTCTCCCACATCCATCGGAGACCCGCCACCAACATTTCTCAAATCCCGTGAAAAGACCGTCAGGCTACTTCCAGCGCTCAGAGAGGATTCAATCACCGCGTTACGACTTCTTTACTTCCTTTCTCACGTCTACATTCGGTTGTCCGCCCATTCATCAGTCATCATGACCGAGCAAAACCCACAACCACAAGGCTCAAAGAGGGACTCGGCTCCCTCTGAGCCTGAGAAGGTGCCCGCCTCCGACTTGACCTCAAAGGGGTGATTTATCTCTATGGCCATTTCATGCCAGTCCCTACTTGCTAACGATATACTTTCAGGGGGACTCGGTCATGTTCGTCCTTGTCGGTGCAAGACGGGCAGGATGCCAATGCTGAGGGCAGCTTTCAGCTCAGCTTTGATCCTCGGACTTTTGAGCCACCAGAGGGAAGTTCACGCAACGATGCCAGTCAGGGCCCAAAAGCTTCGGTACCTGAAAATTCCGAGTCGATGGGCAACCTTGTCAGCCACACCTTATTCTCTCAGATGGCGCCCACTAGCTATCCAAGGATCATCTCCGAAAAGGATTGCGACCTTCGCAAAAAACCCCCAGACAACAACAAGTCGCCAGACAATCAACCGCCAGGCAACAAACAGCCAGACGGTTCAACAAAAGGTCGCTGTCGGAGATTCACCGCGTAGCGGGAATTAAGTTTGTATTAAAATAGCACGTTGAGATTGACCCTGAGGGCCCCGAAAATAGAATTCTTTTTCATCAATTCATCTTGACTCATTACATGGATTTGTCATCTCTCACCCATTACGAGCAGAACCTTGGTGACCTTGTCTTTCCAGTCCTCTTCCTTCACCGACTAACCTCTTCGTCTCTGATGTGGAAGCCCATACTCTCAATCTCCGGAAACAAGGCTCGTATCGACTTGTCCAAGCTCCAGTTTGCCCCGTTGGTAGCGTGTTCGAAGAATGCCCGACTCAACATCCTCCGTCCAGTCAGAGGACAAATGTCTACCGCAGCCTCAATGCTGTACGGCCACCCAACACTGGTACCTCCGGTGTCCGTCGTACCTGGAGAGAGCCAGTCTCGAAACCTCTTGATCAGCGCGTCACGGATAGCAGGACTGCCAAGGTGGTCAGAGATGAGCGTCGCCTGTAAAGTTGGAGCTTACTGTGGTACGAGGTCGATATTCATACGATGTGGCATGAATCGCTGGTGCTTCGTCGGGCGGATCATCTCAGGCATTAGTGCGTAATTAGTTGCCGTGGGGAGGATATTCCACTTCGATCGGTTAGAACTGCATGCACAGAGCCCTCTGCGCCAGTTGCGGCAGTTTACATACCCTCATGTACGTAGCGTATAGGGCACAGCTCGCCAGCTGAACAAACACATCATACCCTTCGATGTTCTTCACCACCTCACAAGCCCAGGAGTGAACGTCGTATGCGTCACCAGGCTGTCGATCTCGGAAGAAGAGCTCGAGGTCAATCTGATCCTGGGGCCCCAGAACCTGATACGAAGGCACGCCATTCGAGAGCATTTCCATCGCGGCATCCCTATAACTGTAGAATATGTTCGATAGTGGGCTGCCGTCGGAGGTCATGAATGAGGGTAGGCGATACTCCTCGCTTTGCATGTTTAGCAGTTGCCGCGCCTGAACTGCTGGAGGATAATGGTTCGCTTTCACGGCGCTCGAAAGCGGCAGGTTTCCGAAGCCTTCGACCGCGCCAGGTGGGAGAATGTGACCCGAATGATTTGCTTGGTCCGCCTTGACTATGGCTTTGAGGAACTCGGAACATCTTTGGTCCTCTTCCTCGGGTGACAGAGCTGCTGGAGGTGAGTCTTTGCTGAGGTCTATTGAATCGACCTGGTGAAGAAGGTAGTGCATCTTGTCAATATGCCACGGCACTACGCCTGTCGGAAGCTCGACGCTGTCATCTTGCTCAACTTTGACACTGGCCGAGGAACTCTGTGAAGACTTCCGGTCGAATAAAGTGCTCGACCCATCGCTGGAACTCTCGTTTCTTGATTTTCGTGGTTTTTGTTTGCCCTCCTTAAGTCGTCGCAGAATCACTTCCGGTGATTCGTCCGCAGCCAGCCTAGCTATGATCTCGGCCTTCATGGCGTTGTCCGCCCACTTCAACAGCTCAAAAAGAGACTTCAATGTGTCGACCTGTCCAACCAATTGGCGGTTTGCCCTGCGGATACCCTGCATCCTCGTCTCGCCATGGTCGACCTCGTAAACGCAATCATGATTAGTCGCCGCACACCGGCTACACGACGGTCGTTGGCCATCACACTGAGGTTGATTCATAAGTAACGGAAAACAAGACGGTCCGTACGAGACGTACCTTTTGTCGTAACTTTCGGCATGACCCGCACGCGATGCGCCCCTTGGGTCCCTTGGAAGCTGGACTTGGGGGCGATGCGGGGAGGGGCTTATCATCGGAATGCCCACGAGGGCGGATCGGACGCAGATTGGTCGACATGAGCTGTTACGATGTAGTGATTGCCCGTCCGATGGCCGGTGTGCACAGAAGCATCGTTGCCCGTCGTTCTCTTAGATGTGTCTATGCCTGCGGCTCAGCTGAGGTCGTTAATCGAGACAGTCATCCAAGGCAAAGAACTTCAACGACGCATGTTGTGGGCCAAAAGACCCTAAGTAGTAGCACTACCGAAACCCCTTGGACTAGCGCTGCAGGGTTTGGCGCTCGCGATCCAATGGGACGGTGTCAGTATCTCACTTGGTAGAACTTTGGCGGAGCGATCGTGCCACCGGAATTCGCGGGCAGCGAGCCTTTGGTCCTTTATTTCAAAAAATGGCTTGTGAGGGGGAAGGGAAGAAACATGGAGCCACGGTTCACATGTACTAGGCTGGATATGTGTTGGTGAGGGGGGAAACCTTTGGGAGCTCGCACTAATTTTCGCGTGCATGCCCACCATAAGCATGGTTTCTTTTTTAGAACATGGTCTCGAGAATTGGGGAAATGTGTCGCCCTTGAATGACAAATTTGACACTCCCGTCGATGCTAGTTCCGCTTGCTCTCGGGGGAGATCTGGGTCTAAGTAAGCTATTCAATTAGCAGCATCTTGCACAGCAATAAGTCAGCCCACCCCATAACCGAACACCCCCCATAACCGAACGCATCAAAACACTACTTTTTCCCCTCTTTACTACTATAACTACCTTACGCTAGAACGCGTTTACTTACTATAATACTTAAAATTAATTCTTTTAAAAATACTAGTATACTTAGTATAGCTAAATATACTAAGAAAGATATTTTAAACGTTCTATATAATATTTAGAATAAGATAAGTATTTAGAAAGCTATATATACTTTAAAAGTACTTTTATTAACTCTCTATAGTTATCTCTATAGTTTTAAGACTTAGTAAAAAAGTTATACTATTTTTTAGAAGTTAATACTTATTTAAAAGAGTTATTTAGTTAATTAAGCTCTTATATAAAGTATTTTTAGTTTTATATTTACTTATTAGTAATTTAAAGATCTAGCTTAATAAGTATTAGCTTATATTAGTAATAACTACTCTCTTAGTAAGAATTAGATTAATAACTTACTATACTATAACTTTTCTCTAAAAACCCTTTAAAGTAAAGCTATTAAATCTAAACGTATTACTACTATTATAACTAAGAAGATATAAGTTTACTTTAATTTATATAATTTACTTAAAATTAAGTATATCCTACTTTAGCTTTACTATAATATAGATAAGACTAATTTAATAGAGGGTAAAAGAGTTAATAGCTTTATCTTAAGTTTTTCTTATATAAAGAAAATATATATTAAGACCTTAAACTTATATATATAGATTACTATACTAAAGTATATGATATGTAACGTAGTGAAGGCGTTTACTGCTTTTAGCGCGATAGGCGCCCTAACTACACTTAATGTGATTAATATGGTTAGCGTGTTAAACGTAGTAAAGGCCCTTAAGGCTTTTAGGGTGTTTAATGCGCCTAAGGCCTTAAACGTGGTTAACCTTCTTAATATATATATTGCTATAATTATGTTACTAACGTAATATATATTAATTAGTAGCATAACCTTAATAGTTACTTACCTCCCTTAAATTAAGGAAGATAGCTAACCTTATATTAACAGTTAACCCTATTAAGTTTAATAAATAAGTTTTAGTATATAGCTAACTTTATAAAGCTTAAATAATAATAATATCTTATTAAACTCTTCTTCTAACTAAGAATATCTTAAAGAGATATAAAACCTCACTATTATGCCCTAGATAATATTAACTAATTTTAAGGTAGTAGAAAACCTTAAAGCTAAATTACTTAAGCCTATTAGCTATATAATAATTACTAATTTCTAAGCTACTTATAAAAACTACTTAGAGAAGTTTTATAGAATACTTATTCTAACTAAATATTTACTACTTAACCTTAATATATAAGTTATAATCTTAACTATAGTTTATAAGGGATTTAAATACTATATAATAAACTACTATAAATAAATCTAAACTATAGACCTAAAAAGAGAAGCTTATATTAACGCTATAAAACTTAAAAGCTAAATATTAAAGATTTAGAGAGATAATCTTAATATATTTACTAACTTAGTTAAATAATAATATTATCTTAATATATTATATTATATAAGATATATTAAGATTAAAAATACTTTAAAATAAAAACCTAACCTTACTTTACTTTTTAGTAATAATAGAAAAATAGGAGGTTATAAGACCCTAAATACTAGCTATATAGAGAAACTAAAAGGCTTAAAACCTTAACGTTTAGTTAATATTCTATCTTAAGATTAAGAATTAATAGTAGTTCTATTAATTTTAGAGGAATATATTAACTTTAGATAAAGATTCTTAAGTACTTTAAGATTTTTACCTCTAAAGTTAGAAATACTAAGTAATTAACTATTAATGCCTAATTTAACTACTAAGATTTTAATTATATTATTAGAATAATTAACTATTATAATAATAAATACTATTTATTATATAACTAAACTTCTTTTTAGCTAAAGCTAAAGTAGTATATTAAAATTTAATAATATATAAAGTTATTATAGTTAAGAATAGTCTTAGCTTATCTATCCTAAATCTTAGCTTACTTTATTAACTATACTAAAAAGAAAAAAGCCTATATTTAATAATAATATCTAAGAGTAAACTAAAGATATAAAATAGATCTCTACTCTATAAAGAGATCTAAGTAATAATAATAATAAAAGTAATCCTAATAATAAGAAGAACTATAAAGATAAAGATTATAGTAAAAGAGGAAGTAATAAAAACTAACTAAACTACTACTTTTCTAAAGCTTAATAGAGGTTTATTAAGCTAGAATAGTTTAATAATAAAATATCTATTAATTATAACTTTCTATTTATACTTATTACTTTAAATAGAGATTATATTATCTATATACTATTTAGCTCTCTTATAGATAATATAAAATATTTACTTCTATATTTTAAGATAGATATAATTAGCTTATTTAATCTACCTCTATATAATAATAAAGTAGATAATATCTATATTAATAGAAGTTCTAAAATAGTTTACTAAAATATATATCGCTTTATTAACGCTATTAATAGTTATATTAAATCTAATAATAGTAATATAGCTATAATAGCTCTAAACCTCTATTAAATATTACTTCACTATATATTAGATTAGT